CTGTTCTGCTCCCCGCTCTGTCTCTGGTGAATCCTCTCACCCTCCGCATCTCTGGCCTGTACCCCAGTTCTGTATGAATAAATAAACAAATCTTTTTAAAAAATTGCTCCTTTGTGGGCCCTCCCTGGTGGTACGATGAGCTGAAGCTCTACACTACGATGCTGGCACAGTCGCTTTTGCACAAGTTCAGTCCCCAGCCTGGGAGCTGACTCTCATGCTCAGCAGACCTCTCCTGGCCTCCCCACTGCTCCCCTCAGCAGTTTATTTCATCAGTTTGTCTGTTCTGCTCCCCAGAACTCTGTCTCTGGTGAATCCTCTCACCACTCGTGCACCTCGAAGCTGTACCAGGTTCTGTATGAATAAATAAATGCATGAATCTTTCAAAAATTTGCTCATTTGGTGCATCAGTACCCTGATTTTTTTCACATGCTAATGAAATCTCAATTTCCAGATTTTTCGTCTATTGAATGGAGCAAATAAGTGATGCTCTCTGGAGGTTTGTGACATTCATGGTATATTCTGCTTTTGAAAATGTGTTTTTCAATTATCTGTTCTCAAAATCGTTTCTAGAATTTCTTTTCTCATTCTAAATACATACTGAAGTTTGTCCCTAATTTGTGGCATTCACAACTCTGCATTTCTACACTTGGGGGAAACCTGCAAAATTCTGCAGGTTTTAAATATCCGAGGGTGTGTGGGTGCATGTGTGTGAGTGTGTGTGTCTGTTTGAAAGGGGCATTGAAAGCAATCCTTCACGACCTCGTGTCAGGAAATATAATTCTGTAGCACAACTTTCGTTGTCCTTAGGATTCATTACTATTTTTCTGGGCAGCATTGAGTTAACTGTTCCCTAAAGTTAGAAAACATCTCCGATTTTTCCTAAATCTTTTCATGCTTTGAATTCTTCCTTGAAAAACATGCCTAAATGTAGAACTGATGGTTCAGAGATAAGTTTATTTTCAGAGTTTGATACAACCTAACAGGTCATCTTTCAGCAAATTTGCTTCAATTTACCTTACCAAACCATACCCCAAAATGATGGATCTGAATTCTCACCACCATCCAATAGTCTCACTATATTTCAACATAGCTGGCTTTTTATTCTTTTCAAAATATTTTAGTGTTCTTTCAGCTTGGATTTCTTGGAATCCCGTGGACTGGAGCATCATTTCATATTGTGTTTGCGTTTTGAGTTTTCTTGTTGACTTGTGAGTTTATTTTGTGGGTTCATACCTTTTTCCATCTTTTCTGTTTCTGTTTCTTTTCTGGTTATCTTTTTCTGTTGACTTAAAAATACTTCTAAAGAAGGTTTTCTAGTTGTTGGCCATTTGTTTGTGTTGATTTCTATAGTCATGTTTATCATGCTGCAGTGTAATCTGTTGCCATCCTTGAGAGATCTTTCTCACTGTAAGGCAGTGATTTTGAAAGTGGAAGATTTTCTGTCAAAACCTGAAGGTCCAAACTTCCAAGAAGTGAACAATCTATGAATTTTTAGGAGAGGGGGAGGAAAGTCAATACCACGAGATTGATAAGCATTAAATCTTTTGCATGAACAAAAAGTACAGGTGTGTATTATAGGATAAACACTGCAGTGCAGGTCACGCTCCCTTATTCACCATGAGACCATTCCCTGTTGCTGTTGTGTAGGCAGAAGGTGAGTGAAGGACTACATGAGGAGATGTGCAAAGCTGTTCTGGGGTTCCTGCATTTAGCACTCCAGGTAAGTTTTGCTGATGCTGTGATGAGTGATTCCATAGAGTGATTCCACCCCCGGAAGTCATGGGCATGGGGTGTGGTGAAGGCCCCACCATCGGTGGTTGTGGAATCCGCGTTCCTCTACCAGACGTCACCTTCCCCCAGGGTGTCACACCCCCTCGGCATTCTCAGTGTCTACCAGGACACGAAGCCAAGTAAGAAAATGTCTTGCCTGTGGGAGAATTTCAGAGCCA